ATCCCAGCACATTGGGAGACTGAGGTGAGATGATTGCCTGAGTTCATGGTTTCGAACCCAGCCTGGGCAATTGGTGAGACCTCATCTCTACAATAAAAATAAAAAAATTAGCCAGGCATGGTGGTGCATGCCTGTAGTTCCACCTTCATGGAAGGCTGAGGTGAAAGGATCACCTGAGCCCAGCAGGTGGAGGCTGTGGTGGCCATGAACGTGCCACTGCTCTCCAGTCTGGGCAACGAGTGAGACCCTGACTCAAAAAACAAAATAAAATAAAAATAAAGAGTGGCTGGCATAAGACCTGACTCACAGTAGGTGGTCACAAATGCTGCGATCGTCGCTGTTGTTTTCATATGCAAAGCGTCTAGCACAGGGTCTGACACACAGTAGGTACTCAACAAATGTTAGTACTTTTACGTGAAGTGTCTAGTCGAGGGCTGAGTTTATTCTTTCATTCATGTAACAAATGTTTATTGAGCGCCTACTGTGTGCCAGGTACTGCTGTGGGTGCTGAGATACAGCTGACCACAAAATACAGAAATCACTGTCCTCACGGACTTTCCCTTCTGGTGGGGAGAGAAAGAAAATACGTATGAATGAATCCATGAGGTGAGACAAGCAAGGGGCAAAGGAAAAGGTCAAGCAGGGCGGGGTTGGGCCCATCGGTGGACGGTGGAAGAACAGGTGGAGGGAAGCCGCACATTCCAGCAGGATGGTCAGGTGGTTCTCGCAGACAACTGAATAAAGACTGGGGGGAGGTGAAGGAGCAAGGGAGCCATGTGAAATCTAGGAGAAGCGCATTCCAGGACGAGGTGTTAACGGGCACAGAGGCCAGCGGCCCCTGGGGTGTTCATGGGATGGGGTGGGCGGAACTGAGGCCGGGGAGGGGAGGAGGAGCTGGAACAGACAGGTGAGGGCTGCCATCACGGAGCCCCTTGGGGCCACTGAGGGCTCTGGCTTTCCCTGAATGACATCAGGAGCCGATGGGGGGTCTGACTGAGTGTGAGGAGAGTCACCTGGCTGCCACGTTTAGTGAAGACTGCAAGGGGGATGTGGGGGGATAATGTCACGATACAGGCAGGGGTGGGGTGGCTGGCCAGGAAGCAGTGGGGAGCTGGTAGGTGCTGGGTGGACACATTTTGAAGGTAGAGCCCAGGAGCTTTGCTGATGGATCAAGTGTGGCGGTGTGTATGAGAGAGAAAAGGCAAGGGCGGCTCCCAAGTTTTCGGCCTGAGTACCTGGAAGGATGGAGTGTCACTATCAAATCAACTGCAACGGGGAAGGTCATGGGTGAGAGGTGAGAGGAGGTCAGTGTTGGATGTGGGAAGTGCACGATGCCAGGTGGGCACTTGCAAGCACGGGTCCAAAGTTCAGGAGGGAGGTCCTGGCTGGGGCTAGGCTGGGAGTTGTTGGTGTGGAAATGGGATTTAGGGCTGAGAGACTGGATGGGACCACCAAGGGAGGGAGAATAGACACAGGGAGGACAGGGATGGAAGCCTGAGCCCCAGGGTCCTCCGAGGTCCAGAGGTCACAGAGGAGAGTAGGAGCCAGGAGGCGGGAAGAAAGCCAAGACTGTGGAGTCCTGGAGGCAGAGGGAAGACACGTGGCGGGCTGGTGAGCCCCAGGATGATGGTGGTGGGGAGGAAAGTGCTGTGCTCAGGGGCACACAGTAGGTGGCCGACACATGTTTCCAGATGGTGGGAATGATTATATAAATCACCTAGCCCAGGGCACGCTACTGTGCTGATGACAGTGATGATGATGGTGTAAGCTGCTTGACCCAGGGCTTGGTACACAGTAGGTGCTCAATACATGTTTCCAGATGGTGAGAATGATTATGTAAATCACCTAGCTCCGAGCGTGCTACTGTGCTGATTGACAGTGATGGTGATGGTGTAAGTTGCTTGACCCAGGCTGTGGTACACAGCAGCAGCTCAATAAATGTTTCCAGATGGTGGGAATGATTATATAAATCACCTAGCCCAGGGCACGCTACTGTGCTGATGACAGTGATGATGATGGTGTAAGCTGCTTGACCCAGGGTTTGGTACACAGTAGGTGCTCAATACGTGTTTCCAGATGAGGGGAATGATTATGTAAATCACCTAGCCCAGGGTGTGCTACTGTGCTGATGATGGTGATGATGACGATGGTGTAAGTTGCTTCGCCCAGGCCGTGGTACACAGTAGGTGCTCCCTGATCACGTGACACTGAGGTAGGGCACTAGCCGAGGGCCCGGCACACAGTAGGCGTCTATTGTATATCGCCACCTGGCAGCCATGATGGTGATGACAGCATGAACCACTAGCCCTGGGCACAGCTCGTACCTGGCGCTGTCCCCGATGTCACCAGGGTGACGATGGCGGGTGAGCCCCACGGGCCTGGGTCTGGGCACCCAGGGGACACTCACTGATGCCGTGGCCCTCCCCCTCGCAGATCACCTACAGCGCAATCAGCGACAAGCTGCGCGACAAGCTGCGCTTCCCGGCAGTACTGCGCACCACACCCAGTGCCGACCACCATGTCGAGGCCATGGTGCAGCTGATGCTGCACTTCCGCTGGAACTGGGTGGTCGTGCTGGTCAGCAGTGACGATTACGGCCGCGACCACGGCCAGCTGCTGGGCGAGCGCCTGGCCCGCCGGGACGTCTGTGTGGCTTTCCAGGAGACGCTGCCCATGCCGCAGCCGGACCAGGTGGTGACGCCCCGGGAGCGCCGGCGCCTGCGGGCCATTGTGGACAAGCTGCAGCAGAGCTCGGCACACGTGGTGGTCGTGTTCTCGCCCGAGCTGGCTCTGCACAACTTCTTCCGTGAGGTGCTGAGCCGCAACTTCTCGGGTGCGGTGTGGATCGCCTCCGAGTCCTGGTCCATCGACCCGGTCCTGCACAACCTCCCCGAGCTGCCCCATGCGGGCACCTTCCTGGGCGTCACCATCCAGAGTGTGCCCATCCCTGGCTTCAGCAAGTTCCGCACACAGGCAAGGCTGCCGCCGCCCAATGGAACCAGCCGGGAGTCCACTTGCAACCAGGAGTGTGACACCTGCTTGAACACCACCGCATCCTTCAACACCATCTTCATGCTGTCGGGGGAGCGCGTGACCTACAGCGTGTACTCGGCCGTCTACGCCGTGGCCCATGCCCTACACAGCCTCCTCCGCTGTGGCCGGACCAGCTGTGCCAAGAGGGTGGTCTACCCCTGGCAGGTGAGAGGCCTCCTGGGGGCAGGTGCAGGCTCTCGGTTGCCATGAAGACAATGGAGGGGGGACTGCTCTGTGCTAGCTCCTCCCTTGGGGATTGTGGGCACCTTGTGAGAGGCCATGGGCATCCCCTTCCTGCAGACACATGGCACCCAGAGGCCCTCCTGGTGCCCAAACAAAATTCCTTTTCTTTTCTTTTTTTTGAGTTGAAGTCTCACTCCATCGCCCAGGCTGGAGTACAGTGGCACACTCATGGCCACCCCAGCCTCCACCTGCTGGGCTCTGGCGATCCTTCCGCCTCAGCCTTTCAAGTAGCCGGAACTACAGGCAGGCTACCATGCCCGGCTAATCTTGGATTTATTGTAGAGATGAGGTCTCGGCAAGTTGCCCAGGCTGTTCTCGAACCTGTGGGCTCAGGCAGGCTACTCGCCTCAGCCTCCCGAAGTGCTGGGATTACAGGCTGAGCCACCGAGCCTGGCCCCAAATTCCTTTTAAATTCATTTCACTGTCACCATCCAAGACAGTCTGTCCTCTGAGATTCGGGTGGAATTCGCCAGAAGGAAGCCCCACAGGCAGTGGGAGCCCCAGTCCCTGCCCTTCCTCACAGTCCCCCCAGGGTTGAGGGCCCAGGCTGAGCTTGTGTTTCCCCACCGGCTCTCTGAGACCCTGCGTTGGATTCTCTCTCTCTCTCTCTCTCTCTCTCTCTCTCACATACACACACATACACACACACACACACACCCGTCACACACTCTCTCTCTCACACACACACACACACACACACACCCTGTCACAAAGGCTTCCAGCATGTAGGTTTTACTGAAGCTCTGAGGAGCAGAGGAGATCTGCATCAGAGAGGTAAACTCAACACTTTGCTGTTGGACTTCTCTGCTCTTAAACAGCCCCACGGGTTTTCCACTGTTTGGGGCACACCTCACTCGCACCCTATTGCTCAGTCACTGCCCCCAACTCCACCCATCTTCTCTCCTTATCTGCCCTTCCTCCTTTTTTCTAGATTTCTCTCCCATCCCCAAATAACCATTCACTTCTTTTTTTTTTTTTTTTTGAGTTGGAGTCTCACTCTGTTACCCAGACTGGAGTGCAGTAACTGCTCCCGGCCACCGCAGCCTCCACCCGCTGGGCTCCGGCGATCCTTCCGCCTCAGCCTTCCAAGTAGCCGGAATTATAGGCATGCACTACCATGCCCGGCTAATTTTTTTGATTTATTGTAGAGATGAGGTCTCACCAAGTTGCCCAGGCGGGTCTCAAACCCGCGGGCTCAGGCAACCCACTCACCTCAGCCTCCCAAAGCACGGGATTGCAGGCTGAGCCACCGAGCCTGGCTGTTCACTTCTTTAACAGAGCAATTTAGCTAACTCTTTTAAAAATCCTCTCATTCTATTTTAATTGTACATTCTATTTTAATTGTACCTTCATCCCATAGTCTCAGAGCTTAACCTTAACCTTATACACTTATCTTAAAACACACACACACACACACACACACACACACACACACACACACACACACACGGTTATTTTTTTAAAAGGAGTTCTGCTGACAGGTGGCAATATACTGTGTATCGCTGTGTAACCTGATACATTAATAATATACATAATGACCGTGGGTGTTTTACTGTTCTTTGAGAGCCTCACTAGGCACTGAATGCCCATCTAACTCATGGCCATCCTGTGTGGTTGTTCACCTACAGAAAGGGAAACTGAGGGTAGTGAGTCAGCATGGCTTATGACTCGGTGGTAAGTGGCAGGCCCTGGCTTTGGGCCCAAGTCGGGACCATTCCGCTGCGGCTGACCTGCTCCACGTTCCGGGTGTTCCCCCAGCTGTAATGAGCAGGAACTGGGATGATGGACAATTGATTCTCCCTCTCCTGACAGCAGGGACCAAAAGGCCTTCATCCTAGCAGGAAGCCCCGTCCCATTAGTTGTGCCAGGCTATAGGAGGAGATGAGAACAGTTACTAAGATCTACCTGCTGAGTGCAGCAGGAAGTCAGAACCGCAGCGGGGAGGGACAGCGACCTTTTCAGTCCTGGACAATGCTGCTTCCCAAGTTGCTGCCTCTGATCTGTCTTGGAGTTGACTGTCCATGAATCTTCAATGAATGAAAGAATGGATGGATGAACCAGTAGGTGCTTACTGTGTGCCCGGCACCACGCTAACCCCTTTGCGTGAATTATTTATCCCCAGGCACCTGGTGAGTAGACACCGCTACTATCCTGCTACTCTCCCATGTGCAGGTGAAATTGAGGCTCAGAGAGGCGACAGTCGTGCACAGGGAGGGGCTGGGTGGTGACAACTGGGACCCTTCTGCCAGTCCATCTGCCATAGAGCCAGAACAGCCTCCTGGCTCACTTACCATTTCACTAGCTCCTCCCACACCCTTCCCTCCACCTCTGTCCACCTTCAGGCATCTCAGATATGACCTGTCTGTCCACACTGGGAAGGCAGGTGGCAGAGATTGTGGCCTCACCTGGACGGGAATCCCAGCTCTGCCACCACTAGGGGTGCAAACCTGGGTACACTATTCAACATCTTGGAGCCTTGGTTTTCTCATCTGTTAAGTAGAAGGAATCACATATGCCCTGCTGAGTGACCGAGAGGATTCACAATCACGTCTGCAACTCCGCAGTGCAGACAGAGGCCGAATGACTCCTCTTCTTCTTCCTCCTAATTCTTCCCTGACACCGAGTGCCTGGCCCTACGAGAGCGTGTGGGACTGGGAGGGTGGGGGGCTTATGCCTGCCTTGGATGTAGAGCCAATGCTGGGGCGAGCAGATGTGGGAGAGGAGACAGGGCCTAGACTCCATGGGGGAGCCGCACGATGCCTGAGCCTATCCAGGCCCCACCCACTGGGGCAATGCCAGGGACAGTGCGTTCTGACCTCCTGCGGCCATATCTGGGACCCCTCAAACCCCAGGCTGCTCAGCCCAGCTTGACCAGGTCCCCGCACAGATGTGACATGAACACCCAGGAGCTGGCTTTCCCTGGGAGCCTTTGCCGTCTTGGTCCCCACCCCCAGACCGGCCACCCGGCTGGAGCCTCCCTTCTCTCAGCTCCCAGGAACATTGTCTTTGGGCCCAGCAACCTGCATATTCCCAAGAAGCTTCCCGAGTCAGGACTCACTCCCCAGGCAGGAACGGAAGAAGGGCAGGCCCAACTACCCGGGCTGTCTGTCTGTCTGTCAGTCTCTGAGGTGAGGCGAGGTCTTGAGCCAGAGTCCACTGGACTCTCCCCCTTATGGAGGGAAATTCTAGGAGCCAGATGGGTGGGATAGCTGAGCTGGAAGCCTTTTCAGGGTCAGCCCAGCAGGGTTCAGCAACCTGCCTAGAGTCACACAGCAAACTGAGGGTGGTGCTGGGACTGGAATTCAGGCCAGAGGGTGCCCAGTTCCAAGCATGCTCTAGTTTGTACCCGCTTTGCACACTGGGGGTGGGGAGAGACTGGGATGAGAGTGGACCCTAAGGGATGGGGAGACAGGAAGGCCCCAGGGAACAGGGGAGGTCCCAGCTGACCTTTGCAGGGGAGAGAGACAGTGGACCCTGAACCCCACAGATTGGGTCCTAGAGGGATGACCGTGGTGACACTTCCGGGGGAAGATACAGTAGGAGGCAAGGGCTTCCTGATTCTCAGGGACTGTTCTAAGGACCGGACATGGATGAATGCCTTTATTGCTTCAGATCTCCTCTTTGCAGAAGAGGAAACTGGGGTTCAGAGAGGTTGAGCAACAGGTCTAAGGCCTCACAGCAAGAGGCAGAGTGAGACCTAAACCCAGTTGTATATGATTCCAGAGCAGCGCTCTCAGAGGCTGATTCCCAAACTGCCACCTTTCTGAGGACATATTGCCCCTTTTACAGAGGGGGAAGCCAAGGCTTGTGAGACGGTGGACTCTCTCCCCGGCCTGGCTAGGACTCTGCTGCCGACTCCATTTCCCTTCTCCCCGACCCCTCCAGCTACTTCAGGAGATCTGGAAGGTCAACTTCACGCTCCTGGGCCACCAGATCTTCTTCGACCACCAAGGGGACGTGCCTCTGCGCTTGGAGATCATCCAGTGGCGGTGGGACCTGAGCCAGAATCCCTTCCAGAGCGTCGCCTCCTACTACCCCATGCAGCGGCAGCTGAAGGACATCGGCGACATCTCCTGGCACACCCCCAACAACACGGTCAGCTCAGGGGGTCTGGGGGCGTGGCCTGGGGCGTAGCCCGGGCGGGGCCCGGGGACACGGCCTGGGGAGTGGTCTGAGGGCGTGGCCTGGGGCGGGGTCTGGGCTCAGGCTGGGGTGGCAAGGACCTTTATCATCCAGGAGAGTCTTTAATGATAGCTGGTGGGCTCTTTATTTGCGGGTGGTCTGGGGTCCTGTCTGTCTCCAGCTTCCGGGCTCAGAGGGGCTCAGGGGCCCCTGCAAGGCCAACATTCACGGAACGTGTGTGTGCCGGGCCCGTGCTAAAATCTTCAATTTTCATGTCAACCCTAGGGGACCGATGCGACCATTCTCCCCATGTCATGGGTTAGGAAACTGAAGAACAGAGAGTTTGCATGGCCTGTCTGAGGGCACACAGCTTTGTCTGTGGAGGAGGTTCTCTGCACACAACATTCAGGCTACATCCTGTCACTTGATATTCAGGGTTTTGGTGCCGAGCCTATGCCTTCCACTGCGTCTGACATCTGCCAATCTAAAGATCCTTGGTTTTGCCCTCTTGGGATGACAGACGGCCAGAATGCTGCTGGAGTGGGGAACGACAGCCTTGTGGGGTTGGGGAGAGGAGCCAGGGATCTAAAATCTTCTCAAAGAGCTTTCATCACCCTCCCTTGACAACATCCTGCTCCCCCCCACCCCCCACCAACCCCAAGGGCGGCACCTGGTGCTGCTAGTCCTGAATGTCTTGGGGACGTCGTGGAGTGAAATGGAGCTGGTGTCTTTGCTAGTTTCCTAGGGCTGCCGTAACAGAGTATCGCCGCCAGGGGACGCTTAAACGACAGAAACTTAGGTCTGGCAGTTCTGGAGGTTGAAGTCCAAGCTCCAGGTATGGGCGGGGCCCGTGGCCGACGAGGTCTGTAGGAAAAACCTGCTCCGGGCCTCTACCCAGCTCCTGGTGGTTTGCTGGCCATCTCTGGGGCTCCTTGGTTTGTGGAAGCATCCCCTCCCCCCATCTCTGCCTTCGTCTCCACACAGCGATCTCCATGCGAGTGTCTGTCTCCACATTTACCCCTTTTACAAGGACACTGGTCAACTCTCCTTCAGTGTGACCTCGTTTTTTTATTTTTTTGAGTTGAGCTCTCACTCTGTCACCCTGGCTGGAGTGCAGTGGCACAATCATGGCTCCTCACAAGCCTCAACTTCCTGGGCCCAGGTGATCTTTCTGTCTCAGTCTCTCGAGTAACTGGGACTACAGGTGTGCCCCACCATGCCTGGCTAATTGTTTTATTTTATTTTGTATTTTTATTTTTTGAATCAGAGTCTCATTCTGTCACTCAGGCTGGAGTGCAGTGGCTTGCTCATGGCCACTCCAGCATTGACCTGCTGGGCTCAGGCAAACCTCCCGCCTCAGCCTTCCAAGTAGCCAGAACTGCAGGTGCACACTACCATGCCCAGCTAATTCTTCTGATATATTGTAGAGATGGGGTCTCACCAAGTTTCTGGACTCAGGCAATCCTCTCACCTCGGGCTCCCAAGGTGCTGGGACAACAGGCTTGAGCCACCACCTGGCTAATTTAAAAAAATTTTTTGAGCCGGGCTCGGTGGCTCAGCCTGTAATCCCGCGCCTTTGGGTGGCTGAGGTGAGTGGATTGCCTGAGGCTGCGGGTTCGAGATCCGCCTGGGCAACTTGGTGAGACCTCATCTCTACAATAAATCAAAAAATTAGCCGGGCGTGGTAGCGCGTGCCTG